ACTGAGGCGAGACAGGACATATTGTGAAGCACTCATTCTCAAGAAACATGCGTAATTCCTCCATCCTTTCTGCATGATAACGAGTAAAGTAGGAACCTGCTTGTTTCTCTAACGAAGCCATAAGCTCATTTGAGGGATAACCGAAATGAGTGCGACCAAACAGACGAAACCTACAGAAATCAGAAACATAGCAAAATAAAGAGAATAGAGATACTTATTTAAAGAGGGACCTGTTCGTCATGTCTACGATGTCAAGAAGTTGGTCAAATTTCAGAGTTGAAAAGTCCTGACAGCACAATAACGAGTTCATCTTTGATAGAGCTACCCGAAAGACTGTATGCATAGATGACGTCATGAGATGTGCAACAACCCCCGACGTTGCTAGAATAATGCATTAATTGAAATCAGTCACTCAAAAAAGACAACCTACAACCTTCGCCGTTATTGCTCATTCGTCTCTGTTCGTCATCTTCTGTGTGAAACCGTAAGATAGAATGGTAAATACATAAAATCTTGCACATTACGTAGCCAAGCTCTCTAACAGTAGGGACGATATGCTCTCTACTGATACACTGAAATTATTACAGATGGTGGACGAACATAAAAAGTGATTCTTCATCAAAAACCAAGACAAACCTCGCACAACTGCTCAAAGCTGAAGTCAGAAAGATTCCTATTGTCATGGTAGCCTCCACATTTTTCCTCAATAATTTTGCGTGCAGACTTATTCAGGGTGGTGACAAAATGTCCAATAAGCTTCTTTGAAGCTAACTAAAGATGCGAAAAGCAGTTAAGAAAATTAAGATACATAAAAAGCCAACCAATGTTTCAACATGAACATTTTTGTCGTTTTGGTATATAATATACGAAAAAAATTAAAAAGTAATAAAAGTTTGAAGACAAAGAACTTCAAGACTCCGTCTAACTGCTCACCTCTACTTTGTTCAACATAATGTAGGCCGAGTACACAGATGAATAATGATCTTGGTCAAAAACCACGGTATGAGCACCTAGCGCGTTATCGAGAGCGTTTTCAATGAGATTAGTAGAACCAACCAGCTTTGTCATTAGGTCGCTTAAGCATAAACGATAACAAAAAAAAA